GTAGAATAGATTTATAATGAATTTGATCTCTTTTTTTAGTATTTTAATTCTTATTAGTATCAGTTTAAGAGTTTTTAGTAAAACTAAATCATATGCTTTTTGTATATCTTGAAATAAGATCCACATTTTCTTGTTCTTTTCTTTTGCATCTTCCATTAATATATTCATTATTTGAACTGGGTTTTTTGTTGAATCTTTTAGAAGAGTAGTATAATTTGAACCTTTAAGAACTTTCTTGTTTTTAATTATTTTAGTGAGGTGCTTTGTGTAAATCTTGATAATACACTTTCTGAATATTTTTAATAGTGCTATTGGTCTAATCTTGGCTAGGTTAAGTTCCTAGTCTAAGCTTTTGGGGATGGATACAATTGGGCTATCTTTCACTTTTGTGATATTTTTCCTTTTTGTAGATACAGGTTTGTGAAATATCTAAAAATATTATATGTTTTTGCATTTGCTTTCTTAATAAGAGTGTAACTAATACCTGATATGCTAGGTGCTAAGTTGTTTTTAACTTCTTTTAATATTTGGTTTTACTCTTCTTCTTTGATTTCGTCTTCTAAAGGTTTATACTAGGTCTTCTAAATTCTATCTTGTGGTCTGTAAATTTCATCTTAGTTATTTTTAAGAAGATTTATATGTGTTTTCCATTTTTGAAACTGGGTTTGAAAGTGCTTGTTAGTTTTTTCTAAAACTTTATTCAGACTCATTACTAGTCTTGTAGTATTGTTTTTTTCTACAAGCAAGCAATCGATTTGGATCTTCTTAAATAGTTTCTTTAGCAAACTAGCAATCATTTTTTCCTATTCATGTATTATTCTTTCGTATCGAATATTGATATACTCAAGTATTTTATTTTGCTTAATTTTTTTTTTTTCAATGAGCCAATGAGATTTAAGTATTTTCCACTAGCCTTTAATATCATCAAATACTTCTGTATCTGTCATATTTTCAATTAAGAGAATGCTTGTTTCTTGTTTTTTGTTAACTTCTTTAATAATATTATTAATCTCTTCTTGGTTAGAGGTTGTTTAATAGTTTGTATCTTTAAGAAATTATAGGATTTTACTAAGCTTAATAGTATCTTGTAGCAATGTAGATTGTTCTTTGTATGACTTTTTCTTTCTGCTTGTAACTATATTAGGAATTCTTTTAAAAAGTATATTTTTGTTTGCTGCTTGAGTTATTCCTTCGGCTATTGCATCCCAACAGTTATTTATTTGGTTGATGGGCTCTGAGTCAGTGTTGTTTTCTAGATTTAGCATATTCTGTATGCTTTTCTTGCTTTTAAAATAATTATATAGATCTTGTTTGTAGTTTTTTTAATCACTTTCAGAGGCTTTGTCATACATAAAAACTTTTCATAAATATTTTTTCCTCTTTGTTTGAGCTGTGTAAGTGAAGTGCAACAGATTTTCTAGTGTAAGTTTAACAAAAATTAGGCTGTGATCACTATTTGTAATAAAGGCTATGTTATGTATCTCAGCTTTTTGTGTAGCAATAAATAGGTCTTCTAATACCTATATTTGATCAATTCTTGTTCTTTGTTTATCATTTAATCATGTGAATGCTTTGGTGTATGGGTTTAGGATTTAAAATATGTCATAAAAATCTTGATTTTTTTAATTATTTATATAATAGT